ATCAATTTACATATAATTCTTATATATATTACTTATACAAAATCTTAACTTATTATAATAATTAAGATTTATCTATTTTTATTTTATTTGAAAGATAATTACTTTTAAAAAAAATTAAAAAATAATTAGATGTAAAAAGAGAATTATACGTGCATCACTTTTAGATGTATTGTATTTTACATATAAAAAGTGATGTAGTCTGTAATTGCCTTTTACATTCGACTGCCTTTTTTTATCTTATTTTGTAAATTTAAGAATGAATGATAATAGTATTAAAAATAATGTCAATATTTTATTTTTTTATTGTGAATTATGCACAATGGATACGTTTAAAACATTATTAACTTTTCTTTAAACACAAATTAAACAAACTTGAAATCTTAAAAATATAATTTAGAGAAACCCAAAGTCTTATTATTGTACTTATATTAGTTCATTTTACCTTGTTTAAGTGAGAAGGGAGGGACCATACCATAGACCGAGACTCAAAACAAACCAAAAAAATTATCAAAACAGATAAAATGAAATATAAGAAAAATAAATAAATATAATACAGGCATACAGCAGTAAATAAATAAATTAAAAACACTCCTATATTTAGGATTTTCCACCCCTACCCCCCTCTTTTTTCTTGGCTCGCGATTCCCTGTTTCTTTCAGCTTTGAACGCTTCAAATCAAAGCACAGCACCGCCATGAACCGAATGGTACAATGTTCCCTTTTTCCACTCTTTAAGCATCAGGTAATATATTCTCTCCCACACACACATCCTTTTTTCTCTTGAATTTTTCTTTAATTTTCTGCTCTTATTTTCAGCTGCCATTAGCATCGCTGTGTCAAAGCCGGTTTGGAGCTCATGGACGGTAATCTCCTGCAAAGCCCATCTCTCTCACTCTCTCTCTCTCTCTCTCTCTCTCTCTCTCTTTATGGTTTTTGATTGTTGGGTTTGATTACAATAGCGTTTGATATGTAAAGGAGTCACCTTGTTGATATTTGACAGTGATTTCGCACTTGGGTTCTAATTTGAGTTCACATACTATCTCTCTCTCTTTATGGTTTTTGATTGTTGGGTTTGATTGCAATAGCGTTTGATATGTAAAGGAGTCACCTTGTTGATATTTGCCAGTGATTTCGCACTTGGGTAGTAATATGAGTTTACATATCTGGTTTGTGTATGTTAAATCCAATTGGGGTTTATCAAGTTCATTGTTTTAATTTCATTTATGAATTTTCTCTTGAATCTGTGAACAAGTTGTTGAATTTCATGGAATACCCAGAAATGCAAAAGAATTGTTTGTTTGAAAAACATAAGGGTTTTAGATGATACTGAATGATTTTCATGGTGCTGGATAGCTGCTGCTAGCTTTGCTATATGCTCGGCATATAAAGCTTCATTAATCTTGGCTAGCCTGTTCATTTGGATACCACCTGAGAAGTTATATACCGAGATGTATTTGGTATTTCTCATTTGTTCCTTGGACTGGGAATATATCATGTAAAACCAGGACCTTTCTTTTTATGTTTTAGAAACTGCAAAACCCTTGTCCTCCTCCAAAGTTTGTAGGTTGTATGCAGTGCATGGATAGACATTTTTTATGACTTTGTGCACATATATATTTTCACTTCATCCTAACATGTAATAATTTTGCCTATAGTCCATATAGAATATACCTTTCATTGACATAAACACACCATTTTTAAGAAATAATAATTTTTCTGAACTTGTTTATTTATTTATTTTTTATTTATCCTTTTTAGCATAATTTTGTCTGTAAACTTCTTCCATCCAACCTTTGCTAGAGAGTATTGTTTTATAGGAAGGTTATTTCTACTTACAGCTTCAGTACTCAAGTAACTGAAATATTTCGAGATCATGTGGGGATGTCATCAAATAGGAACTCTGTTTATCAATTAAGAACTTTTTGCACTGATAAAGGTGCGTGATGACCTTAAACATTTTATATTTTTTGCTGGATAAAAGCTGCCAACAACTTGATTTCAGTATATTTTGAATAAGCTCCACCTTTGCTTTTGTAGTTAGGATAGAGATGCAAATTGATTTAATGTTTGTGCACCATCATGAGAGTTTGCTAATGTATGGTTGGGATTGAATTGACAAGGTGAGGCAATTGATAAAATCTATCATTTATTCAAAATGTGCTTTGCAGGATCTGTACCATTCATCAAGGATATAAACTTGTTGCAAACTTTGATGAATGGTTATTACTGTGTGCTCACCGATAGGTTGTTTCTCTATACAATATTGGCCGGGTTATAAGTTATGCAAGAAAATTCCTATGAGAATGGATTATTAATGATTATATTGTTGGCTAAAATGGTTTCCTGGCCATGTTAGATTTGTCAGCTAAGAAATGTGTGCCATGCAACTCAAAGGACACGCGACCCATGACCGAACAAAGTGCAAATGAACTAATTACACAGGTTTATTCTTAACTATGCATTTCTTTTGTTTTAATATGAACTGTTTTCCTCAGACATCCAATTTCTCTCAGGTAGCTGGATGGAATTTGATAAATGAAGGTGGAATGTTAAAGTTAAAGAGGTCATGGAAAGTGAAGAGTTTCATGAAAGGTCTGGAGTTGTTCAAGCTTGTAGCTGATGTTGCTGAAGCAGAAGGTACATATTTATTTTGTGATATTTGTGACTCATAATCTAATATAGATCTTCGATGCATGACAATGATTGTTTGCAGTTAGATTATTTTGGAAATTTTTGTCTTCATCTATTGTTTACTATTAAATTTTATGGGGAATTTTTGTCCTCTTCATTAATAAATAATAATGTTGCATTGATACAGGTCATCACCCAGATCTGCATCTTGTTGGATGGAACAATGTAACAATTGAGATATGGACTCATGCAGTAGGTAAGGATTGTCTGTTGATAAAGTAATATGTTCATTCCGTTCCTGAATCTTCTGTGTTCGTTATCCTTTTTTCCATTGTCTCGCAATTTTATTTTCACAGTTGGTTCTGAGAAGTATGGTTGTTATTTCTTATTCCTTTTCTTCTGATAATTATAGTTTAAAAGGTAAAACGGTTGGCCTTTCCCAGTTTCCTTTGATTGTTCATAACACCCAACCAGAAACAGCACTTTGGAAAACAAATTTTGAAGTTACTCGAATACAACTTGTCTTTATTGCTTGCTTCATAACTGACTTTTGATGCTGTGATGAATAGTAACACGATTGATCCTGGCAGGTGGGTTGACAGAAAATGATTTCATACTTGCTGCTAAGATCAACGGGCTTGACTTCCACCACCTCTTGAGAAAGAAGACTACTGCTTTTTAGCTTCGAATTGATGTCACAATCTCTATTATGGTTATCACCAAACTCTATACTGTACTGAACAAAGGTGTCTTTGCTGTGTTAAAACTCCAGAGAGTGGGAGTACCCAAGTTTGCTTATTTGCCAACCGAAGATATGAGATAAAATGGAAAAAAGATTTCCTTCAATGTTTCTACAAAGATGGTGCATTTCAATTAGATATGTTTTCCGAGATGTTGCTTTAACAGCATTTGTTTCTTAGTTTCGATTACAATTTTGTTACTGCAGTAAACTTTTCATCACATAATCATTTCTTCAGTGAAAAAGAGAAAAAGAAAAACAGAACTAGGACATGGAAATGAAGAACAGAGGAATCAGAACAAAAGCCATTTGGATTTGTAGTATGGTAGGTATGTATCATAGATCAGATGCAGCATTTGTACATGTAGTGGCACTCGCTCTGTATGAAGGAAACCTGTGTCCTGCTGTGTCACCCACTTGAATTAAAAATCCTAGTAGTGTGCAGGAACATTTGTCAGTGCAACAGGGAAGCAGTAGCAGAATCCTAAGTTCGTAGGTTACAGGAAAAGAAAAAGAATTTGAATATGCAGAAGATGTGCATGCAGAAACCACTCAGTTTTAATAAAATTTTCTCATTGTAGATTTGCTTGCCAACTGAAAATTATTATTATGTTCTACGGGTTTATTTGAAGAAACAACATATAACAATCATTCTAAAAAAGAATAAGAATTATCCATGATCCACCTTGACCTCCTCTTCCTTGATTCCTGATTTCATTCATACTGTCCTCCAGCCAATTGAACTTCTTGCAATCTACATTCTTTACAATTACATCATCCATAAGCTGCTAAATATGACTTGGTATTAGTGGGAATTGTTTCCCAAATCTACCCTCTTTACCTGATTTTACACTGTCCTCCACCCGAGTGAGTGATGTTCATCCTTAGACAATTAGACAGAGTCTTATGTTTCCCACCAAATTAGATCTGATAGGAACACCTGAAAAACAAGAGACGCACCAGTTACAATCTAAAGGGAAAGACGTATGAACAAAGCAGCAAACAAAATTTGACTATCCACAGGACCACACATGCAAACATTATATACAAAATATGTTTGAAGTATTGTTCACTAAACTGATCTAAAAGATCCAAATCCATTCAATCACAGTAGCAATGAGTAAAATGATATGAATGCTTGTGAAATGAGCATTAAATCAGGAGTTTACTGGAGATTTTTGAATGACTTACTAGTTTTTGAAGTGCTTTT